GTGAAATTTTAAACCAAAACCTTCATGACTCAGTTGGTTTTAACAGGTCATAAAAACTTCACACCTATAGAACTTTTTATGTATCAGTTAGTGGTTTTAGATCCACAGAATAAGATAAATTCAACTGGGGCTCCTCAAGGGTCTGTCCTCAGTCCTTTATTCCTTAACCTTTACATGGTTCTGCTTGTTACTATCATAAGGAATCATAATATATCCTGCCATTCCTACACAGATGATGTACATTTGTACTCAGCATTTTCCTCTGATGATCTTACCTGCACTGATGACATTAACTGCTGGATGCCTCCAAACCTTTTAGAACAGAAACAAAACAGAAACTTTGTTGTTGATCCAAAAAGTCAGAGACAGGAAAATGTGGTCATATTTGTCATCCCTTTCGCTGAAATACAGGAATTTTACCATTTTGGACAGTGTTCTCAGTTTTGATGATTATGTTGATATACTATTATCACATCATGCACTGTAGATCTATGTGTTTGTTTTTTTTGTCTTGTATGTTAGGCACTCTGACAAATCTGACCTTTCGTAATCTGTTTTTTCATCACGTTTAAGCCTTCACTGCAACTATGTGTAATCACAGACAGCAACTTGGCAACCATTATCAACAAAAGTGTTAAGCTGCTAAATCCTTCAGGTATTCCTTTGTTGACCCCAAATCTTGAGCAAGTGCCACATCACTGCTGAAAACAGGAACAGGTGTTACAGTGATATCTGTCACCTGTGATGCTTCAGCTGCGTATGAGGCTGCCAGTATATGCTCAGGTAAGGTGTCTTAACGGTTCATTGGTTATTTAAAAAAAATAATGTGACACATTATAAGATTTAAAACAACATGTGGCAGGTAATCCCTCTGATCCCCAAAGAGGAAAAATTAAAACCTAGAGATGGTTGTGTGGGAAATCCCAGTAGATCAGTAGTTTCTGAAATATTCAGACCAGCCACATTCAAAGTCATTTTAAAACACCTTTCTTCCACATTCTGATGCTCAGTTTGAACTTCAACAGGTCATCTCGACCATGTCTACGTGCATAAATGCACTGACTGATTAGATGTGTGCGTTAACGAGCGGTTGAACAGGTGTACCTAATAAAGCGGTCAGTGAGTGTGTATTCTGCTACAAATAGGTCAGTGTATGCACAAACAGTCACTGGGAGCCAAAAGCTCATACTTCAGACAGTTCTTCTTACTCTTGATGACGTCAGTGCCAGGGGAAATCCTTATATGGTCTTCGCAGTGAGCGCAACAACCTCACCCCTGATATTCAAATATTTACCAGGAACAGCCAATCAGAAGAAAGTTGGATTAAGTCGAGCGAGAAGGAAGCTAAACAGCTTGTTTCAGACAGTGGGCGAAGGGAGGCTTCTCTAGTAGCAGTCCAAACATGAAAATACAAAGCTGGGAATTAGTATAACAGGTTCCCTTTAATCAGAAAAACAGACACAGGTGAGATTTGTACGGTAAATGCGCCCAGTTTCCGCCATGTGATTGGCGGATTAAATATTTGTCCTAGCTGTAGAAGAAGTGTACCTAATAATGTGGGGAAACGATGATAGAAGGTTTTTAAAAAGAGGCACCCAAAGTGTTTCACAAATTAGTAACCCCTCAGCTGTGGGTGTGTGTAAGAGTCTGTCCCTTTACATAAATCTCATTTTAGTAAACTTGAAACAAGCGGATAGTTCTTTTAAATGTAAAAAAAGAGAAAATGTGTATACGTTATTATTCAGTGATTTAACAGCTCCGGCCTACTTGAAATCAGATTGGATGTTGGCCAGGAACTCAAAACCTCGATTTTGAGTCCGTTATAATGACTCTTGTCACCAGCAGGTGGCAGTAAGACGTAATCCATAACTATGTCTCTTAACTTCGCCGCTTTTATGTGCCGTTCACGCTGCATCTCGGGTTTCTTACAAGTCCCCCCCAACACACACACCCACCACTACCACCATCTCCGGTTCTCCATCAAAGGACCTTTTTTGGGAATTCTTTCCTTATCGGAATTGCATGTCTAAGAAAACAGATAGTGCTGACTGTAAATCCAATTCAGAGGCCACGTGTGACTGGTAACACTGGGATGTTGGGCTTTATTCCAGATTGTATGTTCTGGGAGAATTGTCATCTTTGAGCAGTGAGCCTGGGTTCAGCCGTGGACCCACTGGACTGTCATAGGTAGACATAAACCAGATTCACTAAATTTCTCATTACATCCACCTTGACCCTGATACAGTGCTGGAAGAGATGTATCATCTTGGAGGGGTCTACCGCAGAACAGCATACTGGTTTAATCTAGTCAGCTCAAAGGAAACAGCTGTCAGGGGCTGCGCTCATGAGTATCGTTGTTATGAGACGATTACGCACGAAGTTAGAAAATGGTAAACATGCCGAGTGGAATTTTTCCATTATTGTCGAGTTGATGAGATTTGACTGTAGAGGGCGTGAAGGGACCCGATGTCAAAACACTGGTTTCAAATAATTCCTAACGTATGGTTTTGTTTCGTTATTGCGCTCTTGGTTAAGTACTCAACGTTGTGCGTTAATATTTTCACTTTTATTTTGCTTTTTAAGTTAAGTTTCGTTTGTTTTAAAATCATACAAATGATTGCATTTCCTATCTTGACACTCCTGTTGTAGCCAAGTGCTACAATACCACCAAACAAAAAGGGAAGGGGGAGAAAGACAGAAAAAACCGCTTAAGTGCTTAAACTTGCTTTTTATTGAGTACAAACGCAGTTCAGTGTGCCAAAGATCCTCGAAGAACAGCACAGGTTGTCCACTTGCCTTGCGCGTCACATACCTGAGCTCCGCCCCTCGCTAGAAAAAATAAAACCCCTCGAGACAGGAAGAACCTGTCAATTCCTCTCACTCCCAGAGCACAAGTTCTTCAAAGTAGTTTACTGCATGTTGTCACGGGAGCTATAGACTCACCACATTCAGACGCATTTCACAGCTCAACCCAAAACACTCAGGGCGTCTCACCTCAGCCCTCCATGCTTCTGCAATCCGGCGGGTGTTAAGATCCATGGAAGTGGCCGGCTTCTACGAGGAGGGCAGCTTTGCTATCCACAGTAGAGACAGCGTTATCAGCCCCATCGGCGGCGGCTCATATTGGAGGCTCGGTGACTCGATGACGGAGCTGGGCATTGAAGAGCGGGAGAGAGCGATAGACTTCAGTGTTTACCTGGACTCAGCTTTGCACTACCCGCAACTGGCGGCGCAGACGCAGCAGCAGCAGGGGGACGTTTTCTCAGATTTCTTGGCAGAGAACAAGAGAAGAGTTGCAGCTTTGCAGAACTACAAGAACTACTCGCTACTGAACGAGCTGGAGACGAGCCAGTGCGACAACCTGAGGGACCCCAGGGAGCCCTACGCGCTAGGTTACCCGGAGCTGCAGGAAACCCGCGTGGATAGCGTGCTGAGCCCTGAACTCGGGAGCCGCTACAGAGCTGCTGCTGCTGTTGCCGCCGACAGAGAAGACAGTCAAGAAGACGCAAAGATGGAGAACGGCTCGTCTGCTTTTGACATGAGGTCCTACATTCATTACCAGTCCACTAGTGGCAGTCTCGGAAACATCTCCACTGCGTCCTCGACTTGTTCCAGCCCGCCCGGCACACCTGCTCCGTCAGGTAAAAGCAGGTCACCATCGCACAGCGGCAAAATGTCAAGCGGGAAGGCAAAGAAACGTCTGGACAAGGACAGTGAAGAGTACAGGGTGAGGCGGGAGAGGAACAACCTCGCCGTGAGGAAGAGCAGGGACAAAGCCAAAATGCGCAACTTGGAGACTCAACACAAAGTGCTGGAACTGGCCGCTGAGAACGATCGTTTACAAAAGCGAGTGGAGCAGCTGTCCAGAGAGCTGGCCACCCTGCGCAACCTGCTCTCTGCCACCGGACAGTGTTAAAACACACACACACACACACTCACACACCGGAGACTCTGCACGGATCTCCGTGCTGTTGTCTGATCATCGGTGGACTTTAGAGCCGAAAGGGAATCCACTGTGCTGAAAACGGTACGCTTCACAGGTGAAGACGGCGACCACCAGTTTACAAGGACACTTTGAATGGGACTGAAGGAGTGGGTGCATGTATTGCGCAATCATTCACGACTCTTCACATGTCACCTTAGCTTTATTTTCAGATGTGATTTTTGTTTTCTTTTTTTGTGTGTGTGTGTGTATGCAGTATTTCTGTGCAGGTTTTACGTACATGCGAGTGAATTTCTACATTTTTTGTGTGTATCTGGAGCAGTGGTTGTCAAGGGAAGAGTTGTGCTGCAGTGAAATGATGCAACTCTTTGTAATAGTATTGGCAATGAATGAAATAAGTCTAATTATTTAATATTGAAAGGTGAAATGCTTTAATTGTACTTGATATTTTATTGAATTAAACAGATTTATACTTTGTTTAAACAATTTCACTTGTAAATCTTCTTTTTTTTTTCCCTTTGAGGCAGGTGAAGGCTCAGACAGACAGAAAGGGGCGTTTGCTTGTCTAATGCTTACACTCATCACAGACTGACTGTGTAATACCACATATTTCTCTTACAACATATTGCAGATAAGAAACTGGCTCAGCGACAAAGCATATTCCTAATCTTTTAATTGAGGCCTGTGTACTGAAATACACCCCAAATGAAACACGGAGCAGGAATTTGACGTTTCTTCTTGGAGATGGAGGACATTAAAAAAAAAAGAAACATTACATTATATGTACAGTATTTGCTCATGTGGTGTATTCATGAAGCAGAAAACGGCACCCAGTGGTTTGATCAGAAGGTAAATAGAGAAAAATTGACAAATAAAATAGAAAGATGATTTTTATTCCTGAAAATTAAGAAAAAAAAATGCTCTTTGAGTAAATCTGAAAGCTGTAGTGCTTCTGTTTACTTAATGATTGGCAGAAAAGTTCTCATATCCTGAAATACATCCAGGCAGTTTATGATGAAACGATACTGCTGAGGGCAGCAAAAAAGCATTAAAAAAAGACCAGGTCACACTGCACGCAGCACAGAAATGTTGGCTTTATCTTTAGCACACTGCTCTGTCAATAGTCTGCAGGGTCCACTGCCCCAGAGAGGGGTTCAAGGTTGCATGGAAATTAATCAGCAACTAACCTCCTCGCACAACCTGAGGTCACGCTTCAACAGCCAAGATCTGGCTGGCAGCGAGCGCAAACCTTATTTTAACCCTCAAGTCAAGAAAAAGGAAAAATGTAGAAGTTTCTTTTTTAAAAATGGAAGTAGGTTAGCTACACCAGACACGATAAGTTGACAAATGGTCTGCAGTGGAATTTACCAAGCCCTGACAACGCAGTTCACTGTGTGCACAATATGAAACATATCTGTCACAAGCAAGCAAATCCCAGACTGAGCAGATAAAGAAAAGGGAGCACGGTGGGATTTTAAAGGATATCTATGACAATTCAGGGTGGGGAGTGTTTTTCAACCCTTTCCTCAAACAGCAAAAAAAAAGTGCCTCTGTTAGGTTTTCTCTTTTTGAAGAAGTGACACATGTACTACACTGACAGTGAAGAGAAAAACGAGGGGAAAAACTCACTTTATCTTCTCTTAATGAAGCATAAAAACTATGTGATGCTGTTTGTGTGCAGTGAGAGATGACATTTAGGATATTTCAACACACTCCATGATGAACAGTTTAGCTTTTAACTGTTGTGCAATATCCTCCCTTTCCAGCACATCAACCCCACGAAGAATGCTACACCCACATTTAAATAAGACATTGTTGTACTCTATGTTCACGACAATGGCTTTAAGTGGTTGTGGTTTGGCTTTAATCCCCAAGGCCAATCAGAGAAACAAAGCAATGTTTCAGAGAAGCTCTCCATTGTTTGTCAGCAGGGCTCTTTGCTCCCGTTGCTCTCGTCCTCTCTGCAAGCGCTGGCACAGACTCTTTCAAACATTCTCAGCATACTTTCTTCGATGACCCCTTCGTTTTCTACTGGAGCCCCACTCAGTCTTTCCCTGCTTCTGGCTCACATGCTGACAGGCAAGAGGGAAATTCCCACACAGGATGACCTCTGTGCTTCAGTGTTTAGCCCGGCCCCCCATGTCCGCATTTTACCGTCAATGGGCAGTGTCTGACCGTAAACTCCTCATTGCATCACAGCTCCTCCAATTGGTCTCCTGTAATCCAATACAAACACACAGGACACAATCACATTATACACACACACCTGTTATCCCACTGCTCACTTTGTACTAGTTGTTGTGAAATTGAAGAATTTTTCTCATATGTGAGTCATTCTTATATGTTAGCAGTTATTTGTTCCTCAGAACAATTTGTTATAATGTTGTAACAGATTGTGCTTTTCCTTAAATAAACTTGAAGAGCTCTTAAAATGTAATTTATCTTTAATTTATCCCTTTTTCTCATTTGTTTTTAAAATCTCAGCTGACTGCAGCAAGAGCACACTACATGTTTTATATCACACAGAAGGCTGTCAGAGTGAATTTATTACATTATAATGGAGCAAAAACGAACAAACAACATTTCAAAAACTACTGATTATGATTGTGATGCAGCGTTTGCTGAATGAAATACCTTTACAAACGAGGTATTTTATGACATATGATATGTGTTCAGCTATATAAGGAGCTGACTGTGGCTCAGGTGGTAGACTGGGTTGGTGGATCGATCCCTGACTCCTCCAGTCCACACACTAAAGCGTCCTTGGACAAGACGCTGAACTCGAAGTTGCCTCCGATGCAACCGTCATAGTTCGTGTGAATTAGAAAGTGTTGAAGCAAAGATAAAATCTCTGTGTGTCTGTGTGAATGAGACTTGTTACAGAAAGTCCTTTTAGTGCATGACTGAGTAAAAAGCTGCAATACACATTGAGTCATTGATCTTGCAGCAGATTTAATGTGAAAACATTTAACTAGAAAACTAGTCGACTCTCTGTGGAAGTGTTAAAGTATTTGTGTTAATTTTTCACTTTTCTACCGTCAGAACTGAGCAGACCAAAAATATTAATCGTATTATTAGATTAATAGTTTTAATTCTGTCATATTATCTCACAGACTGGTAACTTGTTCAGCACATTCCTATGGCAGCAGTTTCATAAGAGCCAGCCGCCCAAGCTGGATAAGTAAGTGGATAGATGGATGTGTTTTAAGTCTAGTATTGTTGTTGCTGCCTGCAGATGTTGCTTCATATTAGTATCCATCATAATCAGCTTTGTCATTGAGTTACAAAACGCAAAACAACACATAACAATGACATGCTTGATATGTTTCTGACTATCAGTAGAAATCAGGCTGAAGCTTGTTGGGTTCTTTTAAACAACACCTTGAAAACTGTAGTTTCATCTTTGTTTGCTTTTTTAACGTGAAAGGCCCAATAATTCCCTAAAACATCTGGATACTATAGTTTTTAGCAACAAAATAATTCAAACAGGTCATCATTTGTTAACCAATATTTCCAGCTATTGATTTATGGCAGCAGGATAATGCATGTGTGGCTCTATAACATTAGTTTTAGTATTGAAGCTTTATGGTACAAAAATATAGCTAATCTATATATGAGCACTGAAGTATCTCAAGGTACTATAGTGAGGCCATTTTTGTTTTCTGTTTGCACATCTTTTGTGTGTGTTTTTTTAAAAAATTTAATTACCTTAAAACAGATGCACTTTTGCTGAATATCTTGAACCCGGTGACCCTAAAGTACATGTGACAATATGCCCATGGATCAAATCTGTCTTTCTTTAAAATTTGGACCACCTAGTCGAAGCTGTGGTCTGTACGCATGAAACTAAAAAGCAGTTATACTTCCACTGTGCCTGCAAGTTAACAAAGACTGCAACAGAAAGAAAGTTCAAGGAGAAAGAGGGAGAATGAGTATCTTTTATCTGTGAAGAGAGAATTTATGTTTTCAGAAACATCTTTTCTGCTATTGTTTTTGCTGTTTTAATCCACACAGCAGCAAGCAGTGAGTCACAGATCGGGTAGGCATCAGTCAGAGTTATGGCAAAAGATCAACGAGCTTTTACTTTTCCTGGATCAATGTTGAGGGCGCTATGTGGACCAAACTGTATATGAAAGGGCTGTATGAGACACACATTATTGATTAGCTGTGTAAAATACGTGCTCTTTTGGGCCCTTGATATGAATCTCATTTCCAGGTGTGTCCCTCAAATTTTTACTTACCTGCTCTTCATACGCTTTCTAAAGTTTACTATCTAGTAACTAAACAGAAAATACTTTTACATTAAAAAAAAAAACCCCACCATATTTCTTCTGTATTATGAGACCTGCACTTTAAATTTGCAAGAAGTTGTTCCCATGCTTCAAAGTGTTGCTTCATTTCACAATGCGGCCAACCATAAGTACAACTAAATCAAGATTCAGGTAACACCCAGTTTGGAGAACTTTCTATGACTTGCAGTTGGTTCATTGAGCAACATTTGAGTAATGTGGGACTCTTAAATACTGAGAAATCGCTCCTGCCGAAATATCTGTACCTTAGGCAATCCTTCTAGTTTTAGTCTAACTTAATCCTAAAAAACATGGATCCATTAATCTATACTACTATCGCAACACATATCCTTAGAAAAAGGATTGATTTTACAAAAGCGTCCACAAAATTGAGGAACTGAAGTTATTACTGAAGGACAATGCCACACGACACTTTTGACACGAGTGACAAACGTCTGAGACTCGAAAGCTTCTGAGATTGGAAATGGAAAAAAAAACAGGACATTTATATAGAGCTTTTCTGTTTTATTGACCAGTATAAGAGGTTTAAACTATGAGCCACATTCACCCATGCACTGCACTTTGTATTCTTATGTATTACCTTCTTATATATATATATATCTAACAAACTAACTCAGTGATGGAGAGGACTGAGCAAGAACACATCTAAGACCTATCGATATTGCAAAAAATGCGTATTTAAACCCTGTCTAAGTGTTCAGAGTGGGTATATATAGAAAAACAATCTGGAAGATAGATTTAGTGTTTTGAAGTTTTGCACTAAAAACATAGACCCTGTAAGTTAACACTAAAGGCAAACAATTATCAGAACTGAACCAAAAGTAGCCAAACCCTTGCCATTTTTTAGCAACAATGAAAACAAATATATAAGGCTGATTTTAACACTGATTTTGCCTTTTTATTTTTATTTTTTAATTACAGTTCCTCCTCCTAAGTGAAAGGCACACCGGATATCCGGACCATGAGTTGTAACGGGAAGCCAAACCGCCTGAGATACGGTAAACGGACCAGTACATGATCTGTCTTGAAGTGAACCAAGATTTCAACATCTTAGTTCACTTCTGCAATTTTTTTGCTGTGGATGACTGTGAAAATTCAAGACTGACGTGCAGAAGTGACTTGCGGTCACTACGCAGCAAGCCTCCCTGCCCAGATCTTGCATAAGAGCAGGCCATC